AAAGCTGAAGAAAAGCAACAGCAGCAGAACTGTGAGGATCCAGCAGCTTTCCACACCAGGGATGTGCTGAATGACCAGCACAAGCAGATTTAAAAATTCCCCAAACATGCAATAAGAAAAAGCAGAAAATGCTCAGAACTAATATTCAGAAAGGGTGCATTCATTAAAACAAACAGGTTTGGTTTCTTTTTAATCCTTCTATTGTTGAACACCCCATTATGCCAGCAGAGGGGAAAAATCCAAAATGCAAACAAAGAGAAAGGTGATCAGGGATGAGGATTAAAGAGGAAGAGCCATAATATTTAAGGCAACAAACAAGCAGAAATGCAATGAACAGACAGGAATAAATTACAGGACACAAAGATTTGCATCCTGTCAAGAACTCCTGAAGAGTAAAGGGAGCCTGGCCATGTCTGCAGTTCTGCCAGTAACACGAAAAGTGGATCCACTGCAAGGGTAACCACGAGTCCAGACACTGCAGGAACAGCAATACTGTCAGAGGGATCTCACAGGGATTCTGGTACATCACCCATAAAAAAAAGGAAAACAAACCCAAAACAGGACAGCAAATCATATTGCATGAAGTTAATGCAGGACCACAATGCCAACCAACCACAGCTTCTCTCTTCTCTTTGAAGCTTCAAAAAGAGGAAAAGAATTGGACAAGCGGGTGCAGAGCCCAAGCAGAAGGAAGCAGATAATGTGACAGACCCAGCAAATATGGAACTTCTGAGCAGAAGCTGAGGTGCAAACCAGAGAGGCACAGTCAGTGACACTGCAGAGGGAGGCTTGGTAACAAAAGGAACTCACAGAGAACCTCAGAAAGGGGGAAAGCAAGGCTGTACACAGCCTGGAGACTTTAGAAATTCTCTTCATTGCTGTCAGGTTCCTGCCTGGTCTGATTTTATTCTCTCCTATCTCCACATCTCTTCAGGAGGATAAGGGAATTCCTTGTCAGATGCTCAGTAATTTCACTGCTCTACTCCCCTCTGTGCCACTGACGGAGGATCCCTGCCACAAGACAGTCCTGGACTTCAGACCACAACCTCTGTCCAGGCTGATGTCCTACAGGACTCCATGCCCCACACCTTAGTACAGAACCACAGACTCACAGAGTGATTTGGGATGGAAGAAACCTTCAGAGAGCATGTAGTCCAACCTGCCTTTCATTTGTCACTAGACCAGGTTGCTCCAAGCCCCACCCCCATCCAAAATGGCCTTGAACACTTCCAAGGATGAGGCAGCCACAGCTTCTCTGGGCAACCTGTGCCAGGGCCTCACCACCCTCACTCTAAGTCCAGTTCAAACCTACCCCCTGGTACACCTTATGGTCTCTTGAAAGACCAATAACAGGTCCAGGACCAGGGGAAGCAAATGGTTTTAATCCACATTTCACATTTTCCTGGCTCACCAGTGGCACAGGAGGAGTTAGAGAATCTGCAGGAAAAGCTACTCAGGCCACAAACTCAGAAATCAGGATGAAAAGCTAAGGTTTCACTAGCAATTATGAACTTGCTGCTGTTGCACTTCTGCTTTCTCAACAACACAGTTTGTCACAGTTCCCTTCTGGAGTAGCTGAAAATAAAGCAGGAAGCTACCAGTCCAGTTGTTCATATCATTCCACAGCTCGTTCATCATCCACTCCAAAAAAAGAGACTTTCACAGGCAACTGGTTTGCCAGAGCCATGCCTGAACAGGCCCTCGCTTCAATGAGCAAACACTGAGGAAGCAAAGCTAAAGAAAACAAACAAGAAAAAGCAGCAGTAATCCCCTATACGACAGGCCATTATTTCTGACTTGGTAGGAAACATTTAATTCCCACGCTACAGAGGCTCACCCTGATGAGATTTATTCACTCCCATGAGTCACAGAGGTCCCTGCACGGATTAGATTATGGCAAAGCCTTTGAATTTATATTACGACAGTGGCTAAGTAAACTACCCTGATAGGAAACAATCACCAAGCAAGCAAGTAACTCATGGACTGAACTCCAGTGCTCACAGGGATGGCACTGGCTTTTGTTACCTCTGTGCGTGTGGAAATCATCTGGAATTTGGCATTAACACAAGCTGATGACTAAAGACAAAAAGCAGAGAAGGGGAAAGTAGTGGCAACAGGTCTTTTTCACAGCACGACACAGCTCAGAGCTCCTGCATTAAAATACTTTCCATTTTAGACCACTGGCTTTTTATGTAACACAATGCAAGACTCACCTACAATCAATTCCATTTTGGTGACATTTTTTGTTAGTTCCACCCTCTCCTTCTCATGCCACAAGGATTACTGATGCCAGAACAGCCTGATGAGCTGGTATCTTACACTAATAAGCACGCGGAATCGGCCTTGTGTCCAAGGGAAACAACAGACCATTACCAAGAGTAACAGATACTTCCAAAGGGCACCCTGGATTCACCAGCAACCCCTAGAAAAACAAGGTCTTTGGCTGGCAAGAAACAACACCCCCTGTTTATCCTCCCAGAACAAGGGGCCTCTTTCCATCTCCTTTCAGCACCAGCACACACAACCACTCGTGTTAAATGAGATGTTAACCCTGCCAGAGACACTGAACTTTCCAACTTACACATTGTGTTTCCCCCTGTTCCCTCAGAATAACCACAGCCAAAAGCTGGTCACTTACAAACTGGGGAAAACTAAGGGAAAATAATGTAGAGAGAGAGGTGGCCTCCCTTATTGGCAACCACAGATGACAGCCCCCAAGCCCCACCACGACGATTGCTTGGTTTCCTGCCGGATTGCATCCCTTTGGCTCTGGGACATAAAAGCAGGTCTTCCAGATGAAGCCTTTCATCCCCTGGAAGTAACCATGCTCTGCTGTTGTTTAGTTAGCCTCTGTGATGCTACACGTAGCATTGAATAGCTGCATGTGCCATGGATTTATTTTCAGGGCATAACAATGCTCTCCACATCGTTCTCTTTTCCTCCCACTCCCCAGCAGTCAATTTGCTTTTCTGGCCACTGTTGAGCTCCAAGTTGAAATCTTCTAAAATTTAATCCAATTCCAAGCACTTCCTCAGCCTAAATTTTATTTGGAAGAGAGTCACAGTACAAGGCCAGATAGAAACACAAAACACACAGATATCAGCAGTCTTGGATAATCTTTGATAAATCTTGGATAACGTGAGGCACACACGCAGATAGAGGACAAACATACCTGCTTTCTCAACTGCCACACAGCATCCTTGGCAGAAAAAAAAATCTTCTCTAGCTATGAAAAGCACACGAGATAGAGTGAGCCCACCTACAGTCTGCCAACTTGACCTTCTCAGAGCTTGAAAAGCAAGTGGGAGAGAAGTACGCTTTTGTCTTGCTATTAAATCTTAAAATAGCAATGTGTAGGAGAATCCTACCCTCCTGCCCCGTGCACTAAGCTGAGGGGGAAGGGAAGAATGGGGTGGAGGAAAGGTTGAAGTCAAGCTGAATTTCCTGCTGAACAGGGTCTGAGCTGACCAGAGATGCCAGGAGACAAAGGATGTCTGCCTAGATTCTCTTTTCTAACTCCAGGCTGTCTGCCATTGTATGCACAGTCTAGTTACAGTTCACTGAATTAACACAAAAAAATGAATTGATTTCCATAATGAAAAAGCCTCTACATGGCTCCAGAGTGAGGCAAGAAGAAAGGGCACACAGCTTGGGAGGATGTAAAAAAAAATAATCAAATCACTTTTTGCCTGTTGAAATACAGTTTTGAGCTCCCAAATGAACAGCTATTTTTAGTTGATCATCTGGAAATTGAGAGAGAATACAAAGCATCAGGGTCAGCATCACTGTCTGCAGGAAGCCTGCAGGAAGCCAGCACATAGCCTAGAGAGAGGCAGTCAGGCACCACACATCTGCATCATCAGCACTGCACAGGGACCAGCAGCATGGCTCTATTTATAACCCAGACGTGTGCAGCTGTAGCCTGCAATGAAGGGCTGGGATTGCAGGCTGCCAGCCCTCAACAACATGCTGCCTGATTTAATTAAAGAGATGGCAATGTGCACATGCACACACAGATGCATACATGTCCTTTTCCCATGAGAGTTACCAACGGTGAACTCACTGTTTTGAAAACAATGCATTTCACCAAGGTTACTGTGCAGGCAGCAGGCAAATGTGTCCTCAAACAACCCCTCCACTTCCTCACTCTGCTCTGTGACCAAATGTGACCAATAGGCACCTCACCACTGCTCAGGTAACCACTAGCCCTTGAGTGGTTACTGGGTTTGTTTGTAGCCCTGAACAGGAAAACAAAGTCACTGTAGTATTTATATGCACAAAGAGAAGAAATTCATTTAGTTTGCAAACAAGGTATTTGGGAGTCTCACCCACCTTCTGCATCAGGACAGCTTGCTGTGCCATCAGGTTCCATTTAGAGGTGAAACCTGCTTTCAGATACAAAGCTCTGCCTGTCAGCGAGCAGTCAGAGGGAGCATTTCCTTGTTGTGGGACTAGAACTCAAAAGGCTCTATCACCTCCTCCCTGCTCCCACTCTCACTTCCCATACTCCCTGCGAGCTGGACACTCCTGCCATGAGTCCTTGAGCCAGGGAGCAACAGCAAAGGACAGGAGGAGAAGACTTGCTGCAGTCAGGCTGCAGTGTGTATAGCACTGTTGGTACACAACGAGCAACTTGCTGACAAAATACTGGGTTACGAATGGCAGCTGCTAGTGAGGCAAAAGCAGCCACAAAGGAAGCTCAGAGATCAGGTCGCAGCCTGGCCCCTGCTGTCCTCTCAACCCCTGGGAGTCTTTGGCTGCATGAGGACACCCCACAGATAACATGAAGCTAGTTCCCCATCTAGGGATCACCAAGCACATCCTTGCTGTTCTGCCTCCACCCCAAACAAAACCAAACCTCTTTTAAAGGCCCTCGCAGGAACATGGGAAGGGATGTTTGGGTTGTATTCCCCTGGGCTTGTTCTGACAGTCACAGCAAATACAGTCCCCAGTGTCTTTGCTCACAACCTTATGTGGTACTCATTCAAAATACAACAAACCTGTCCTGGAGGAAATGATGCTTCTGGAGTCCAAGTCGAGCTTCTTGACCAGGGTATCAGGATCAATCTTCAGCCCAGAAAAGACATCAGAAGATGAGAAGTCCCAGTCCTTATCCAAAAGAAACATTAACCAGGAATCAGTATAAACACGACCAGGCAACGTTTAGTTAAAAAATCCCCCCCCCAAAAAATCAAACCTAGCACCATCCAGAAGGGGACAGTGGTAGGGAGCAGGTGCCTCTCCTGAGCTGGCAGGGGTAGGTAAGTCACCCCATTGGCCTGCCCTCCCCCCGCCAGGCTCTTCCACACAGAAGGAAGTTTCACAAAGTCTCATTTTGGACTGTTCTGCTCCTAATAGATTTCTGCTTCAACCTGACCTCGCCTCACTGAAGTGCATTCAGGAGAGCTCTCCCAGAAGAGCTTTGAACAGCATCCTTAGGAAACGACAGATTTATTACAGATACAGAACAATACAGATAAGCAACAAATGAGCAGATTAGGGGATTAAAGCCTAAAGCGATGGACATTAAGCAGATTCAGTGACTACTAGCAACTCACTAGATCTTTGGCATCATGCTTTAAGCATGCAACGCCTCTAAGTCCTAAGATCTGCAGTAGCTACTCTGGCTGGATTAGAAGAATTTATTACTTTAGCCAGCAGTATCTACCAGCACTGACACATAACTTCATAGTGGTATAAACCCAGCTGTATTTGGCACAGGTGATTCCTCCGCCCTCACAAGGAAAGCTTAGGCACGTAAAAAACATTTACTGCTGTTGTGTTCTTGCTGTGAGAGGGCTAGGGAAGGCATCCAGCTTTAATCTGAAGTGTGTACTCATAACACAGCTGGGGAAACCAGACACTGTCTGCATCTTCTACATGATTGTGTGTGCAAACTGACAGCTCCTCTCCACCTGCCCTAACCTAAAATCAAAGAGAACCACTGCAAAATGAGCAAGGCAGCCTCTTCTCTCACCCCTTCTCTCCCAACACTTCTTGGCAACGATCCTCACTGCTGCATCCAAGTTACCCCCACTGCAACGCAGCACAGGCACCCTGTCCCCAGCAGCAGGAGCAGTGCTGCCACCCCCCTACATCTGTATCGCAGCTGCTGCTGCGGGGCAGTGATACCTGCCCCGGGGCAGCACGCTGGGCCTCCCACTGCACACAGGCAGGGCCCGGTGCCGGAGCGCTCCTCGGGCTCCCCCGTTCGGCCTCCCGGCCCGCCGTGCCCGTGTCACACGCTCCCGCGGGGGAGCGGCGGCGCGGGGCAGCAGTAGCTGCCCGGCAGCACCGAGCCCGCAGGAGCAGCACCAAGGGTCCGGCAAGGCTTTCCTAAGCAGGAGCAGCCCTCGGCCCGGCCTGCGGGGCCTGCCGCCCCTGCCGCCCACACTGGCGCCTCCCCGCGGCCGGGCCCGCGGGTCATCCACCAACACCGCGCCGGGGCTCCGCGCTCGGGGCAGCCCCGGGAGCCGGAGGGGCCGAGCGGGGCTGCGGAACCGGCCCTTCCTGCGGGAGTGGGGACGAGGGTGTCACTGCGGCCCGCGTCTGCCCGCCCGCGGTACCTTCCCGGGGCCGGGGCCCGGCTCGGGCGCGGGGAGCGGCGGCAGGTCCCGGGCGGGCCAGGCCCGGGGGGCGGTGCGGTGCAGCCGCGGGCGCTTGGCCTTCCCCACCATGGCGGCGCGGAGCGCGAAGGGACAGCCCGGCCTGTGCCGCGCCCGGTGCCGCCCCCACCGGGGCGGGATCTTCCGGCTGCACCGCCCGCCCCTGGGGCCGCCCCGGGCCCGGGCACTCGGGGGTGCTCCTCCCTACCTGCCCTGCGCGGGCAGAATTTGAGAAGAGCTCCCTGCCCGTTCGTAGCGCTGCGGCGGGATGGCGGCGGCTGAAGTGTTCGCGCTGTGCCGCCGGCCGCCCGCCGGTGGTTGCCGTGTGGCGAGCGGTGGGGCGGGCAGCCTGCCCGAGGCGGCTCCTGTAGACAGCCAGAGGGTGTTCAGGTGCTCGCTCGGCGCCTTTAGGTTGAACCCAGACACTCTGCGACACAGAGCTCTCGGTAGCACCAGCCAGAGACCGGGCTGCCACGGCAGGGCAGAAAACAGCTCGTAAAACTTCATGCCAGAAATTATTTCTGTAGTTGAAACAGCAGAAAATACCCGGCGAGCCTCCAGGGAGCCCGAACACCTGCCAATCATGGGTCCGGGCAGACACCCCAACGAAGCAACTCGAGCCCCATCTACACCTTTCCACACACAGAAGGGGGTGAAACGCTAAGCTGCTTCTCTTCCCTCCAAGGTGAATAAAAAGCTCCAGGCCTGGAGCCACGGTTGTTTTGATCTTAGCAAGCCCTGACGGGTGCTTCCTGCTTAAAACATCTTCATTTTCCATGTTCTCTGCCCTCCCCGTCCTCCTCTGTGTTTTCCAGGACCTGACACTGGGCCACAGAAGTGCACAGCTGGTGACCCTCCCTGTGCGTACCAAGAAAATGTGGGGAGAGGCCTTTGGGAAGGTGCTGGGAAAGAGCACAGAATCATAGAATATCCTGAGTTGGAGGAGACTCATGAGGATCATCGAGTCCAACTCCTGGCCCTGCACAGGACACCCAAAGAATCCCACCACGTGCCCAAGAGCATTGTCCAAACGCTTCTTGAACTCAGTCAGGCTTGGTGCTGTGACCCTGAGGAGCCTGTTCCAGTGCTCAACCACCCTCTGGGTGAAGAACCTTTTCCTAACATCCAGCCTAAAACTCCCCTGACTCAGCTCCAACCGTTTCCTTGAGTCCTGTCGCAGAGAGCAGAGGTTGCTGCTGCCCCTTGTGAAGATGTTGAAGACCACAATGAGGTCTCCCCTCAGCCTCCTCCAGGATGAACAAACAAACTGACCTCAGCTGCTCCTTATAAGCACCTTCACCATCTTCGTTCCCGTCCTTTGGATGCTTTCTGATAGCTTAATGTCTTTCTTATATTGTAGTGCCCAGAACTGCACACAATATTGAAGTGAGGCCACCCTAGAGCAGAGCAGAGCGAGACAATCCCCTCCCTCGGCTGGCTGGCAGTACTTTGCCTGACAGCACCCAGGACACCGATGTCCCTCCTGGCTGCCAGGGCACTGCAGACTCATATTCAACTTTCCCTTGACCAGGACCCCCAGGGCCCTTCCTGCAGATGCTCTCCAGCCTCTCGTCCCCTGGTCTATACACACAGACAGGTTTGCCCCGTCACAGGTGCAGAATCTGGTGCAGCCCTTGTTAAACTTCATACACTGTCATACCCAGGTACCTGGTCACAATCAGGTGTACCCCTGTGCAAATACGACAAGGTTGAAAATACAAAATATTTCTGAGGGTGGAGATCCCATAGCTGCCTGAATCCTCTCTTTTAGTTGGAGTATGTGGCTGGGGACACACCTGGGAATCATGGAATTACATGATGGTTGAAAGGGACCTTAAAGATCATCTTGTTCCACTCCTCTACCACTAGACCAGGCTGCTCTGAGCCCCGTCCAGCCTGGCCTGGAACACTTCAAGGGATGGGGCATCCACCAGATTTAATGTTTGTTAGGGATAGAAAGATTTAATGTTCATCAGGAATAGAAAATAACAACAGGAAAACTTCCTTGCTGTAGGCTGGGTGAGCATCATTTAGGAGCAAAGGCCCAAAATAACATCTCTAATCACCAAAATCAGTGACTTTGGGGAACAGCCACTCTGAGAGTACCCAGCTGGATGCCACCCGCCCTAGCTGCTTGAGTGTATCCTGCAAAAGCCGCAGCAGTCCTCCAGACAGTGGTGAGGGGAAACACAATCTACTCTAGTAAAAATAAAATGAGGAAACGAATAAAAATAAAGGCAGCTGAAAGAAAATAGAAAGAGGAATATTTAACAGCTTAAAATGCTTGCAGATGGGCTAGAGAGCGTACACGCTGTGACCAAGCACATGTCCCCAAAGGGTGCCCACCTCCTTCAGCTGCAACACTCAAGGCTAAATCTGCAGGAGAGCATGAGGAACAGCTGGGAGGAAGTGGGATATACCAGCAAGCTTCAGCTTTGGCTACAAGGACCAGTGATATGCCTGTTCTGCTCCTGCCACTCCGACTCCAGGGCTCCCAGCTCTCCCACCATCTTCCCTCAACCTTTAGTCAGTTGGAACAGAGTGGTTGGACAAACCCTATGAATTAACTGAGGAGGATAGAGCAGCTCATTAAGGGCCTCATGCAATATGAAAGCAAAATTTCAGCTCATCTCAACCACACTTCCTTCCCTCAGATCTGCAACCTCCACCACCGGCAGGAAGCCCCACCAGCCTTCCCAGCTTCATCCGCCCCAGCCCACCCACTCCTGGCCTGAGGGCTGCTCTGCAGCATCCAGCTGTAGCCACCCAAGCTGGGGTGAGCACCCCAGCTCCCAGCTGGCTCGTCCTCAGGCCCCATCCCCACCGTATCCTACATCAGCTGCTCCAGTGCTCCCATACCACTGCCAGCACTACTGTGTCCCTTCCTTCTACACCTGGCTGTGAAGAAACCAAGCCAGGGCTCTGTTGTCTTCTTTAATAAAAGCATTTACCCACGAAGCATCCATTAGTGCACAGAAATTTTTTGCTGGCACTGCAATCTCTTTTGCAGTGCTGCAAAAATAAACCCAGCTCTGTAACTGTACCACAGTAGCAGGTGAACAGCATCAGGGTCTTATGATGCCTCAGGTCGCCCTGCCCATGGCAGGGGGTTGGAATGAGATGGTCTATAAGGTCCCTTCCAACCCAAACCTGTCTGTGAGTCTGATAATGCAACATGGTGAGTCAACATCAGGTTGCTTGGAAGGGAAACCTACAAAGAAATTAGCAAAGCCTCACATTATCTTTAAAAAAAAAAATCTTGTATGTTTTCTAAATGACTTCAATTAATAACTTTTACTGTAGTGCCTTGAAGAGGTTAAGAGAAAGTTGACAGTAGCTGGTTCCTCTCTGCTCAGGGACGTGCTGCTGCAATTGCTTTGGAAGGAGTTATTGCAGCCGGCACAAGAAAATTTGAAGGCTGCTTAAATGAAGTTCCCCATGCAGCCCTGAGCTTTGCCACTGCGAGGGCAGCGCCTGCGTCCTCTGCCGTGCAAGGAGACCTCACTACTCCAGCATAAACATTTCAGAGCCCAACCCAGAACCTGAGGGGAGCTAGCTCCCCGTCCTCTCCACATCCAGGGGCAGTCAATAGCTCTCAAAGGAACTAGTTTCCCCCCCTACCAGCTTTGTGTGCCCACTGGGGTCTGGGATGGTCCCCAGCAGCACTGTGAAAGGTGAAAAGTGAGCAGAAAGGGTGGGTTTTGGGTGGGTCTCTTTCCCAGGTGCAGTGGGAGGGCTGCAAGCCCCCTGGGTAGCCCAGGGAGTTGAGCCCCAGCCCCCCAAGGCAAGATGATGTGGGTTTGACCAGTATGAGTGGGACTGGCTGGGTTCTTGGGGGAACACGCCCTCCCACAGTTACCACTCTGACTTCCTCCTTCCTCCAGCAAGACAGAAATAGGAAGGAAAGATTGGGGTACATTGCAGAGCTCCAGATGCCTGGCTGCTTTTCCCAACCAAGCTTGAGAGGTTGAGACCATCCTCATCCCAGCCCAAGCACAGGAAAGAGGTGAAGACTGGATACCAGGTGAGCACAACTTCTCTATTTTCTGTGCTTCTGTTCCTCCTTTCTGGGGGAAAAGGCAACCAGGCAACAAAGGGGTTATGTAGCTCTGTTGTTTCCAGGGAATTGTTTTATCATTCCTGATCTAACTTTTGGCCACTGGAGCTCAGGGAGATTGGTGCGGTGTCCCTCCTGCAGGTGGGTCAGTCTGTGCACCCTTTGCAAAGGCAGCTTGCCTAGTCTGTAATGGTTTTGCTTCTGGAGGTAGGATTGAGCCTGGAACTGCAGGTGGTTGTTGTGGGGAGGGCGTCAGACTCCGAAAAACCCTTTCCTCACCACCCCGCGGGCTCAGAAAGCAGAGCAGAAAGGGAGCAGTGTGCTCCTGTCACGCCCTTACACATGGCACTGGGGAAAGCGGCATGGGCTGTGGGCCTACCTGCAGCACCAGGGCTGGGGGCTGTGCCAGTCCCCCTCCTGGGACCCCCCTCTTCCTCATGGGGTCTCACTCCCTGCCTACAGGGTGTGGTGGGAAAGAGGGAACTGACGTGGCGGCATGGTGTGAGCGTGGCAGGAACAGCAGCCTGGTGGGGGGCTCAGCATGGTGTCACCACCCATTGCAGGGTCCTTTCTGGTTGTCCCTGCATGCCTGGGGGGAATAGCTGGGAGTGGGAGTGAGAGCCTTGCTCTTCTCCTCCATACCTCTGTGTGCTGCACACATCAAATACTCCTCAGCCAAGTGACCCCGGGGACAGCAGGTCCTTCCCAACATCTCAGTGGCTCTTGGATGCAGATGGAATGTGGGGCACACCCCAGATGACAGGGAAAAGCAGCCTGACCCTCATTTTTGATGCTCTTCCCAATGTCACAGCCACAGCTCCCAGCCTCCTGGCAGGTGAGAAGCAAAGATGTGAACGTGTGCAGTGACATCATGCCCTGGGGCCAGCACGGACACTGAACATGGCTGCTGCAAGGTGTGGGGAGGCCCTACATGGTGCTTTTTGCTATCACAGCTGTCACATCCTGCTTCACACGGCGGTTTTGCGCTTTTCTGTCCCCATTCTGGTGCTGCTAGGAGTGATCTCAGTGTGCTGGAGAGCGTGGTGCCCCTGGACTACCCAGGGCAGGACAACCAGCTGGCAGCTCTTTCCCACCCAAGCAGGGCTTTGACCTAGGGA